CCACACACCGATCCCAGCAGTGGCGCAACCGTTTCCGCCAGCTTCACATTCTTCCACACACCTACCACTACCACAACTTTCTCTCCCACAACTCAGTCTACATCAAACTCTACTTCAACCCCACCCCACCACATCGCTGTTACCACCAACATGGCCACTTTTACATCGGCTCCACAGCCATTGGCATTCCCCACAGAGAACACAATCGCAGAGCAAAACTCAAGCAACTCCAAAACAACATCCCCGTATCAGCAGAACTCTCCCTACGTTATTGGCACTCTCACAACAACATCCACCACTACACCACTATCCAGCTCACATCCCATGACACCTATGATCAGGCCTGGATCCAAGAGCATCACCACATTGCCAACTGGATGCCCACACTCAACTGGCCCTTCATCTCACACCATCTCAAGCTCAAAGCCCAAGGGTGGCAATTCACCAAGCATCGGGCCCACTTTTACTCCAGACTGGCCACTCACAAACGCCTTTTTCGACGACTCCGCCTCCGCCAACAGACACTCAGAGAACCACACCTTTACACTTCTACAAAACATCATGCCCTCACCCTACTCCGTGACCTTACCAAACACACGGCAGCCTCCTTTGAAGCAGCCAAACAGCTGCGCAGTGGCCGTCGCACAGACTTAGAATGTCTACGCCATCAGGCGCATGGCCCCCAATCTGGAAGAACCAGGCCGCAGCAGGGCACTCCACATCATCAACAAAGCCCTCCTTTTCCGCAATCTTACACCACCCAAGCCAAACATTCCTCTCACAGCGCCCATCCTGGCGCACCAGGACTTCACAAAGCATTGCCAACAGTGGCTCCGTACCACCATCCAGCAACACAAACATTTGGCCATTCCTCTCCACCTCCCGTCACACCGCCTACGGGAAGCAGCCCACAAGACCCTTCGATCCCAACTCCACAATCACCGCACATGGGAAGAAACTCTGCAATCGCCACAGGATCCAACAGATCCACCGTGCGCCTGCGCCCACCTACGCAGTCTCCTCCAGGATCCAGACACACCGACCATCAACGACCACTATATTCTCACACTTGACCAACTCAATCTCCCACAACACCTCAACATCTTTCTCCAAGCCAACATGAACAGCACCTACTATCCCAGCAAGGCGCGCTACTTCCTTACATTCCAAACGGCCTATACAAAATGGCTCAAGCTCCAGGGACTTCCACAATCCCTCACACAGCATTTGCAACCTTTCCTCGAGCACCAATGGCGCCTTCACACCAATCATTTGAAACAACATCTCAGATTCACTGCCCGTTTACTTTGACAGCTTCAAGAATACCTCGGCCCACACACCGTACTTCACCATGCTGATCATGAACTACAACAGCTCCGTGCTTTCTGCCCTCGCCAATTCTTTACCGGAGCCCTCAACACGTGGCAATCTCCTGAGCTTTTTGCACCACCTCCATACCTGACAGCCGCCAACATCCACGACCACCTCAAAGCCACTGTACCCTCCATCCTACGCACCCGTTACAAATGGGGCTTCCGCAAAGACTTCAACATTCCATATGGAGTGGTCCATCTAAAAGAGAAGAAGCATTGGCAAAAAGGCCGCACCATCATCTCCTATTTCCATTCACTCAGCGGCAACCTCCTACGCATCACCAGCCGTGCCTTAGACATCATTCTCCAACACCTCTACCCACAACATCCAGGCCAACTTTCCATCCCGCAACTCTGGCGCCATTTCCACTGCTACCTCACCCAAACCCCAGCAGACATCTCACTATATGCCACCAACGATGACCTGGTCGGCTTTTCAACTCGGTTCCCCAGCACCGCCTCATCGACGCAGTCCACTCCATGATTCAGCACTGGCAACACCCTCACCATTGATGTTCACGCAACCGGCCACCCATTCCACCACTCCCACATTGGCCGGCATCACCAAAAACACCCCACACAGCGCACCATCCAGACCTCTGACATCACCACCATTGTCGCCTATGCACTCGACACTTGTATTTTCCGGGCATGCAACAACACTTACAAGCAAATCCGAGGGGCTGGGATTGGATCCCAACTCTCCCCTGCCCTTTGCAACGTAGCCATCACTCTCATCGAACACTCCTGGCACCAGATCCACAACAACCTCCTCCAGCACACTGACATACACTTTGCATACTACCGCTATGTTGACAACAGATTCATCGTCCACAACGAACACTTCCTCCAACACCCAGCCATTCAAACCCTTATCCATCACAACTTCTTCGGTGACCCAGTAGAACTTGAACCGGTAGACGACTTTCACCTTCTGGGTTTCAACATTGACCTACAACAACGTGCCATCACCTACATTCAACCTCTACAACCCTGGAAAGTCAGGGACGCAACCAGCGCCGGGAGCCAGCGCTTGGCTCTGTCCGGGCTCCACTCAAGTCTTCACACAATCCACAAATACACCTTTCCACCTTCGAGCGCTGACGCTGCTGCCACTGAGCTTGTGCAACTCTACGTCCAAAAAGGACACGACTCAACAGCTTGCAGCCGGTTTTTGAAAGGAAAAGCGCCGATTACGGCGATCTGTGTGTGTCACCCCCTGTACCAAAGGGTTCAATGCCACTGTCTTTCACTGCAACCACTTCACAAGGCAGGGGGTCGCTGGGGATTCGTGCAGTCAGCGACCAACGAAGACGCTGCACGTTTCCTGTGATATGAGTTGAGGACGCTCGACTCACGTACCTGCGACTGTTTTGAACTTTTGCCCACGCTGTTCCAATCTTCCTTTTTTGTTTCCATGGTGATTCATGATACCTCCCACAAACCTACTCTTCCCCAGCAGCTGCGCCGCCGCTTTGATCGTTTTGCCGCCGCTTTGAACGCACGAGTGCCTGTGTCAACAATTTTGAACAATACTTTTCAGCGGACTTTTTCGCCTTGCCGTTCCATCACCTTCCTTCCCAACGTGGGAACTGAGTGTAACTGAATACCAATGTCAGAGTGTGTGTTTGTGCGTGGGGGGTGCACAGGGGAGCGTTTGGTCGCTATTGAAATAGTGTTTGACTAGGCCTGAGAGGGAGGTGTGTGTCTCTAAGACACTGTGTGATCTGTGAGGGCCGGAGAGGGAACAGAATGCAAGGTGGAACGGAAGACAGGCATAGCAGAGGAGGCTGGGTAGGAAAAGAGGGTTTGCAAGAAATCTTGGAGTTGCTCGGGGGTCCCCTTAAAAAATTGCAAAGAGGGGCCAAGTTCGGAGGGCTAACCCTGAGCCTGGTGGGGGAGGAGGTAACGAAAATGAGTGGTGTTTGGGGTGTTGTGATGCAAGTGATGTAATTGACGGCGAGTAGTGCATCATTAGCATCACGAGGGGCTCAGGAGGCAATGTAAACCGTCTTCTACCGGGTGGAGTTTATGTCAAGGATGGGAAGGAGGGGACAACGCGGCGCGAAAAGTGGTTGGAACTCCTCCAGGAAAGGGAGAGCGTCTGGTCGCTATTGAAATAGTTTTTGACTAGGCCTGAGAGGGGGGTGTGTGTCTCTAAGACACTGTGTGATCTGTGAGGGCCGGAGAGGGAACAGAATGCTGTGAGGAAGGTGCAGGCATAGCAGAGGTTGCTTGAGGGTGCCCTTTTTGAATGGTAAAGATGCCTGTCAACCATACGCAAAAGGGTACCCCATATGCGAGTTCATGTACTGATGCGGTCTGTTGGGGGCAGGAATGAGAACAGAATGCAGCGGGCAAGCTTTGAATTGCTTGTTCTTTTTAGCGGTGAAGGGGCCTAGTTGCCGGATTCAAAAGGGCACCCCATATGGGGTGGGAGTTCATGTGGATGAAACAGGCTGTCTTCTACCAGGCGTTGGAGTTTATGTCGGCGATAGGCTGAAGTTTGGCTGGGCGAGCGAAGTGAGTAAAGGGGGTGTGGGGGGGGTGCACAGGGGCCAAGTTCGGAGGGCTAACCCTGAGCCTGGTGGGGGAGGAGGTAACGAAAATGAGTGGTGTTTGGGGTGTTGTGATGCAAGTGATGTAATTGACGGCGAGTAGTGCATCATTAGCATCACGAGGGGCTCAGGAGGCAATGTAAACCGTCTTCTTCTACCAGGGGGTGGGAGTTTATGTTGAGGGTAGGAAGGAGGGGACAACGGCGCGTGAAAAGTGGTTGGAACTCCTAATCTTGGAGTTGCTTGGGGGGGCGCCCTTTTTGAAAGGTAAAGATGCCTGTCAACCACACGCAAAAGGGCCCCCCCATGGGGTGTGAGTTCATGTGCTGATGCGGTCTGTTGGGGGCAGGAAAGAGAACAGAATGCAGTGGGAAAGCTTGGAATTGCTTGGGGGTGCCCTGTTTCAACGGTGCAAGGCCTAGTTGCCGGACTCAAAAGCGCACCCCATATGGGGTGGGAGTTCATGTGGATGAAACAGGTTGTCTTCTACCAGGGGTGGGAGTTTATGTCGACGATAGGAAAGAGAGTGGTTGGGCCCCCCACAGCTATGTTTGCTCACTGTTTGGGCAGCAGGCAAGCCCCTCAGTTCCTTAGGGGTGCCCTTTTTAAAACGGGCTTGAAGCAGGAGTAAAAAGGGCACCCCCCCCAAACCTATGTATTTTGTTTTCTATTTGGTGGCTGCAATGTTGACTTCACCCCATACCAAAGGTACTCACTTGATCTTGCACGCCAAGTCTTTGAGTTCCAGTGCACTCTCAATTTCGCCCCCCATTGCCATATTGATGTCTTCTTATGGAGGCTGGTTTTCGTCCCCTCCCTTCTCAGGTGTATATATATATATATGTATATCCACACACAGGGAATCAACAAGCTGCTTTGACGAGAGTACCGTGCATACATTTTGTATGCACCTAATTCACGAAACCGGGGGGTTTGTTTTGAATGAGTTTTGATGAACATGTTGCAAAACGGAGTGAGTCGGGAAATGCATGAACTTCAGAATAAACTATATAGTACAGAGAGACTCGACAGTGCTAGATAGCAAGTGCCTTCCACCATGCGTTGCCAGGCCTTGCTGGCAGCCCGCTCCAATGTCTCAAAAGAGGGTGCAATGCCCTCAAGAGGCAAAGAGGTGAGAGAGCAACAGGATTGGGCATCAGTAGACAACGAAAATTCTAAACTACCAAACAACTGGATAGTTGGCATCCGCAGAGCAGGGTGTTTCCGTTGCAGGCTGGATTTGTTTCTTCCGAAGGGTGGCACCACTAACACACCATGCAGGATGAGACATCTTCGTGGCTTGGAGTTAGAGAAGACCCTTTGAGGCTGGGGTGGTCGCAGATCGTTCTTCCAAAATACCAAGGTTTCTGGAACCCATTGAAATATTATACGCAGCGAAATGATACCAAAGCAAGTCAACACGTAGCTAGTCACTAACTACCGGACGCAGGAAAGCGCTCGCACTATTCATGCGGTTCCTAGATTTAGGGAAACTCATCTCAGACCTGCTCAAGGCCGCCTACAACTCCCATGTCCACAATCAGTGCTGTCTGAGAGCATTCTCAATCAACACCTGTTTTTCACAAGCAGCCTGTGACAGTATTGCTGTATGGAACAAAGTCCAGATCGTTTTGCGGGTTGTGAAGTACGGACTCTGTATCACAACAGGTTGAATACTCAAAAGGTCACCAGGAATAGGCTGCTGCTTGGGCGGGAGCTGAGCTAGCTGACTTGCAAGCTGACCTCCAAGAACACCTTTCATGCAACACCAAAACAAAAACTCGCACGGCATCAACCACCCCAATGTGGTCCTAGGACCTCGGGCAGGCACACCCAAAACCTTGGCCCAATTTGGAAGAGAAACTGGTGGTCAGAATCACACAACCTAGAGACTTCAAAACTCCACCGTTCAGTTGCCTGTTCTGTGGCGGTGGTGTTCCGATTATCCTGCGCTGCTTCCGCACTTCGAGGCTATGGATCCCTACTGGTACTATTGGCAGCACAGCAAGCACCGGCCTCTTCCGCATAGTTACTATCCTACCGCTACCAGCTATGGCCCAGCCAGCCACGCTGTTCGTACCACGTCCCGTGCGCATCCACATCAAGCCCACCCCTACAGCCCTCCTACTCCACATGCCACCACCACAGTCGCCACGCCAGCAGATTTCCCACCACCCCCTGTGGAGCCCGAAAGGTTGGACCAAGGTTAAAAATAGCACACATAAAACTAAAGCCCTACTGATTTTAGTTTTTCTATTTATATAGGCATCGCCAAGCAGCATCCATGAACTGTCAATTAGACCAACCAGTAGACCAAGTAGTTCCAAGAAAACACAAATTACGCATGCCTCAATAAATCTAGGATAATTTCTATTGTTGTTCTTCTTTAGGATCATTTGAATGTTGAAATGACATGGGTGCTATTTAAACTAAGGTCTTCAAAATGCTTTACCAGGCATTGGCCCCTTCTTAAAGATAGGTTCCAATGTTGTGTTTTCTATTATACAATTTGTGTTTGTTTTCTTGGGTTTGTCTATCCGCCTCTGTTGGGGTAGCCTGGCTGGAACACTGAAATTAAATGGGGTGCTATTTAACTTGAAAGAATAAGTGGCTCAGACACAAGAGGGGAGAGAGAGAGAGAGAGTAAGTGAGAGGGAGAGGGAGACAAAGAAACAGGGAAAGATATGAACTGATCAGTGACGTGAATCTGTATTTTTAATTTTGGGTGGGTAGCCTTGGGTGGGTAGCCAAGCTCCTTGCTGAGTTGGACATCCACACAAACCAGTGGGTTTGCTGGGAGCTGACGGCCTTTTCACACATGTACAGTATCCCCCGAGACGTAGGACTCCCCCCACTTCATAACACTTTGTGGCGCTCAGAGGTTGGAAACCCGTTTTACAACTTGTAGCGATTATTATATGTATACAAATGTACAACAAAGATTTATATAAAGATATGCATGCATGCATTTCGTTTGAAATGCGTTTGCATTGAGCATTATTTAGTATTTTTCTTTTTATGGCATGACTGAATTGGTGGTTGGTGCGATACCTGAAGCTGCGCAGGCCCTTGAGCTGGCCATGCCTTTCGCTGAGTGTCGACTACGAGCCGTGGAATTCTGCAGAGGGTAGCCATGAAGAAGAACTCTTGCAGATGCTTGCCATGAAAAGATCGCACATGGCAATGCATTGCCAGAGTTGAAATTTCATGAGCACATGGCATGATGGTCGCCGTCCGTTCTTTCATTTCACCCTCAAATCACCAGGGATCCCTAGAGCCGCCGCGAGAAAGGTTTCGTGCGAGTTTGGTAGCGGAGCCCTGCACCACGCAGGGCTCCCGCGCGCCATAGGCTGCTCTGCGCGGTGGCTGCCGCGCTGCCTGACCTCGACCTCAGGCCACCTTCGAGAACGAGCTGTAAGACCAGGAGCATCACGACTCTGTTTCCTGGCATCCGTTTCATCACGCTTGTGGCGTGCACTTGCTTTCACTTCTACCAGCTGACGGTAGACCACCACGTGATCCAGAGAGCCCTGCGCTACCCGATTCAGGTCAAGAAGACTGTGAGGTTCGAGCTCGATCGCGAGACGCTTGCCTTGCAGGACACCCACCAGTTGCACTACTACATGACCCTGAAGTCGGAGCAGTACAGGACCTTTGCCTGTCCTTCAGCATCGATGGCGACCTTGCCATCGACAGGAGTCCCATTGCAAGAGTATCGCAAGGACTGTCCGCCCGGATGGGCCCCTGGGATACCAGATTATCCCCTTCGTCACTATTTTGACAAGCTGAAGCTCTGGTACAGGATCTATGACGGACCTGACGAATCGGTTGGACCATTGGTAGCTGGACGCCTTCAAGGAAGAGCTCAAAAGATAGCTTTGAGCCTCCGTCTCATCCGCCCCGACGGCAACTATGACATTGGCGACAGCGCTTTAGTCCGACTGTCAGTTGACGAAGTCCGTGACCCCATGGATCCAAATGTCATCTTGCAGCACCACATTCCGAGCGGCATCTCCGCCTTGGCGACAGCTCTTCGTGCCGCATTTGGTCAGTCCGACCAAGAGATGACGACCACCGCCCTGGAAGCTTTCTTTGAGCTTCGAAGAGGAAAAATGTCGCTTTAGGACTATGCGGCAGAATGGGAGCTTCGTCTTGAAGAGGCTCAAGTCCGTGCAGGCTTGGAGCTCAACAACGTCGCCAAGACCTACCTCTTCTTCCGCAACAGCGGACTGCCTGTGAAGTTCGTTGAGGATGTGAAGATGCAGATCCATGGAGATATGAGCAGATTCGATGAGGCCCGACGACTCTCTCTTCGCATCAGCAGCAGAGGAGATCAACAGCTTTCCACTGATCTCTATGCCTCAAGCTCCATTGGTTCCATGGTCGACAACACCGCCTATGAGGACTACTACCAGGACAGCTGGGATTCCTGGACATGGGACGGATGGCGCGCTTCAGACGTGTATTATGATCAATGTGTCGACGACCATTGGGCTGACTCTGCATGGAGCTATGATGCCTGGATGAGAGAGGGAGAAGAAGAGGAGCTATGGCATGATGCACAAGACACAGCTTCCGAATGGCATAGCCCTGAGCACTACGACATGGCCGCAGGAGATGAAGCTGCAGATGCACCTGCCGCCGAGGAGTACTACCAGGGCACCAATGATGGATGCTTCGTCTGTGGCTCCAAGTATCATCGAGCTGCTCAATGCCCAGTGAACCATGGACACTCCGGTTCACCTGGCAAAGGATTCCAAGGAAAAGGCAAAGGCAAGAAGGGCAAAAGCAAAGGCTTCGGCAAGAACAGAAAAGGCTTCAAGGGCAAGAGCAAGGGCAAAGGCAAGGGCAAAGGCAAGCCCTACTACTATGACGACTACTATGCCTACCGACGCCAACCTGATCATGGACTCTTCGCAACGGGTTCACCTACAAGGTCATCCTCATCCACTACTACCAGCAAGACGATTGTGCAAGAGAGCCCACCACGACAAGTTGGCGAGCTCTTTGCCTGGCGAGGATCAGCCCCTGCTGAGGAAGAGAGTGTCACCACACCAAGCACTCCACCTGCTGATCCAGCCAAGAGAAGCCTGAACTTCGCGACAACATTGCACACCTCAGCGGACGTGTTCCACACCGTCCAAGGTCACAAAAGACGAGGACTTCTCATTGATCCAGGAGCAGCAGCCGGCCTAGTTGGAAGTGAGACTTTGAGAGACATCATCGAGCACTGCTACCCCAATGCACACCGAGAAGAGGCAATCACATGGTCTGACTCCGATGCCACCATCACCGGCATCAGTGGACAACCAGACAAAGCTCTTGGCAGAGTTCACTTGCAGCTGCCATTGAAGGACATGAAGGCCACCTACACGGCCGACGTCATTGGGAACGCAGGCTCGCTCTGTCCGGCTTTGGTTGGCAATCCTGCTCTATGTGAGATGAGAGCATCACTCCACTCCAGATGGTTTGACAACAACGATGGCCTCTTGGTGACTTGGGACACCAACAACTCAGTCAAACCAGAGATGCATCTGTTTCGATGTCTTCTCACTGGTTCTGGTCACTACCTCCTTCCTTTGGATGAGCAAGCTGAAGTACCAAGTCAACACTATGAAGCTTGCCACTTCATTCGACATCTCTCCAACGTGTCGAAGACCAAATGGCCAGATCATGCTTACACGTTCTGGCAATCAGTGACTCAGACCGAGGCAGACCCGAAGCAGAAGTGGAGGTCCGATGAGCCACCCGAGATCAAGGACACCAATTCTCCAAAACAGGTGTCTTTTGCAGACAGTGAGCTCACGGATTCAAAAGAAGCAGATGACACTTTTCCTGAGGCTGAGATTACAGAGGCTGTTGAGAAAGCTTTAGATAGCACATCTGAGGAGGCAATCTCTACAGCGATAACATCATCTAGCCCAATTGAGGAGTCAATGACCAAAGCAATGACACCATCCAGCACATCGGAGGAGCCTGTGTCCACAGCAATCGATGAAGTGTTTGGCACTGGTTTTGACAAGCTTCCACTGTATGCAAGAGATGATTTTCCCCCGCATCTCTCTTCCAGTGACCTGACACGACTTCACAAGGACTACAAGGCAATGCCGGAAGAGTACTACACTCGATCTGGCAAGAGAGTTGTCACACCTCAGAACTTCAACACCTGGCTTGGTGAAGCACGTCGTAAGAAGGTCAAGTGGCATGGTTGGGAACTCTGCTCAGGCTCTGGTCGTTTCTCACTTCTGTGCATCTTCGCTGGCCTCACGATGGGCTTTCCCGTGGACTACCGCTATGGTTGGGACATTGCGCATCCAGATCATCAGAAGATGCTCGACCAGGCCTATGAGACGTGCTGTCCTGACTTCCTACTGTGCTCACCTCGCTGCAAGTTCTGGAGCATCTCATCTTCAAGAAGAGATCGACAAGAGCTCATGAAAGATCGAGAATCAGAACGGCCTGCTTTGGTCTATCTGCAAGACAAGATGTACCAGCAGACCATTCGTCAGAAGATCTACTTGCTGGAACACCCATGGAGCTCAGCATTATGGACTGAAAGTGTCATGACTGAGAACAAGACCTTCGTGGGCCATCGACGAGCCAAGCGCACCGATCAATGCGCCTTTGGAGCATGTGCAGAGAACAGGCAACCGATCCTGAAGGCCACTGGTTTAGAAGCCAACTTCAAGTTGAGAGCTAGTCTCAAGCGTTGCAATGGTCATCGAGGAGTACCTCATCTACCACTTCAAGGACAACACCGAGGAATCTCACGGACTGCAATGGCTGCTGTCTACCCAGTGAGATTCTGCCGGGCGATCATTGAGGACATCCTCTACCATCTACAACCACGAGGCAGCTTTCGACCCAATCGCTTGAATGCCCTCACCAATGTGGAGATCTTCTACAAGTGTGAGCGATGCTCCATGGGAAGAGCTGCCCTGCCATTCATGGAGCACTCCTTCATTCCTGGAGAATGTCGCTATGGCAGACACCCAGACAAAGCACCAGCGACACCAAGCATGGCAGCTAATCCACTGGAGGACTTCAAGCGAGCTGCAAAAGCCCATGCATTGGCCAAGAAAGTTGAACTCAACTACCCCGAGGACTTTGACTTCACTGCGGAGGAGGCAGTGTGGATCAAGTACCTCATGTGTGAGATCCGCAAATCCAGTTTGGCCGTCTTCGATGAAGCCAAAGGTGAAGACTACATCTACTGGCTGACCGATCCATCTCTGCTGATGGCCGTCAAGCATTGCCTGAAGAAGATCACGCATGTCCATGGAGTACATGTGACACTACATCCATTCGTCAAGGCTTTTCCAGAACCACACCTCTCAGCAGAGAATGCACCACTTCGCCTCATTTGTCGTGGCACCTATGAGAGCTGGCAACTCTATGCCCTTGAGGATCTGAGAGAACTTTCTCCAGCCCAACAACGAGAAGCCATTGATGAAGAGGATTGGATGATCACCTTCTTCGGCAACAATGTGCCGCCATCGACGAAGGTTCCTGGAACACCTGTTCCCAGCACACCAGCAGTTGCAGCATCCACGCCGAGACCTGCCATTGCTGATGCTGTTCAACCAGAGGAACCTGCTGCACCTTTGGCAATACAACCATATGATGAAGTGGGCACTTCCAAGGCAATAGAATTGCGCACCATGAAGCCCCTCTACAGCATCAAAAGAGTCCTTCATCGTCTACCACAAGAAGTCAGCAAGGACACTGTGAATGCCAAGAGAATGCTGCTTGGTCTTCATGAACGACTATGGCACGCCAATGCGACAGATCTGGCGAACCTGTTGCTGAGAGCAGGCATGCCTCCTGCTGTGGTGGAAATGGCTCATGAAGCAGTTGCCAACTGCACGATCTGCAGGAAGTACTCTCGATTACCTGCACGACCGAAGAGCAAGATTTCATTGGCTGCCCATTTTGGAGATGAGGTGGAGATGGACATCTTCTATTTGTGGCCCAAGCCATTTGTTCTCTTGATCGATGTCGCCACCCGCTACAAGATCGCCTATGAGACACCGAGTCGAGAGACGGGTGAACTGTTGAAAGGACTTCTCCACAGATGGACCTCCATCTTTGGTCCTATGAGAGTTCTGACTTCGGATCAAGAGAGCGCCATTATGTCATCCACAGCTGCCATTGAGTTTGAACGCCTTGGGGTGACACGCAATCCAAAAGGAACCACGGCAGGAGAAGCTGGACGACAACACACCGGCACTGGTCTAGTGGAAAGGCATGTTGCTTTGATCAAGCTGACCATGCAGAAGGTGAAGGCCGAATGTGATCGACAAGGTCTTCTGGTGGAGGATTCTGATGTGGCCACCGAATCAAGCATGAGCCACAATCTTTGCTTGACTTACGGAGGCTATTCTCCATGCATGGCAGTGTTTGGAGTGGTTCCAAGAGCTTTCTACGAGTTTGAGACCCCACAGATGACGGCAATCACTGGGGCAGCAGATCGAGATGCCACTGTCTTCGAAACTGCACTAAGGCTTCGTCAAATTGCCCTCACTGCAATCCAGCAGTCATTGGCTGAAGATCGCTTGACACGTGCCACTCTTCACCGCTCTCATCGAGTGGATACCACTGAGCTTGTTCCAGGCACCAGCACCGTGGAGATATACAGAGATGCAGCATGGAGAGGTCCAGCCACACTTCTTGAAGCAGATCAAGAAGAAGGAACTGCCATCGTCAAGCACAAGGAAAGCCCTACCTGATGCCACTGCGATTTGTCAGACCATCGAAGGGAGTCTTCTACAACGTGGACTCCTACACAGGCACCAGCCTATACAAGCTGATGACCATGGCAGAAGAAGCTCAGCCATACAAACAGTTTGTTGTTGGCTACAAGCGTGTTCTGACTTCATCTGGCATCAACTGGCAGAGCATTCCACTACATCCAAACGAAGAACAACAACAATTGATGAAAGATTTCGCTGACTGGCAGAGCTGGACTCAACATCCGATCCACGGACTGGTTTATGGCCAGGGCCTGAAGACTTTGACACCTTTTCCTGGCACCTACGGCACTGTTTTTGTCTGGCAGAAAGGCACGGCAAATTTCGTCAAGATGAACAAGACCAATGACCTTCAGATGAAGCTCAACAAGATCCATGAATCACACTGGGACTCACTGTGCGTCATCTACTTGTACCACTACCCCAATTTCATTGAGGATGAAGCCAAGACTACTGCAGAGATGAAGGCTGAGTCACACAGCCTACCCAGTGTTCCTCATGTACCACCAGAACCTTCTCAACGCATGGAGTTGGAAGATGAGCTTTCATCAGTCATTCCACATTTGCCACAGAAGAGAGAGGACCCAGCATCACCGGTCCTACTTCCTGAGCAGGAGCCAAAGAGAAGCAGATTGGAAGGCAACTTCACGATCGTCAACACCAATTACCAGAATCTGCACACCCTTCATTGGCTCATGGACAGACAACGTAAGCATCGACTGCATACTCAGGATCTGTGGGCCGACTACTATGAAGTTCCAAAGTGGTTTGCTGGAATGACGTTCAAGATGGTCATGGAGAACTCCCAGAACAAGCACGAGTACAATCTTCGCACCAAATGCTCCAAGTTGGTGGATCAGTATGGCAGCAAGCACCGGACTTTCTTCATTGAGCTTTCTGCCCAGGCTGTTGGAAGCTATGCATCGGTCACTGCAGAAGACAGCATTGCTGAAAAGGACCTTCCACCAATTTGGCCAGAGGTCGAGATTGCAGATGAGAAGGAGATTGCTTCGTCAGCGAGAAGGCCTTTGCGAAGATTCTTCTGGAGTCAGTTCCCGCGGACACCGTGATCATAGATGGCACATGGGTCCGTAGATGGAAGTGGAAGGGCAACCAGCGGATCATCAAATCCCGCATGTGTGCCAGAGGATGCTTCGACCCTCAGAAAGATTTCCTGGCCACTCGATCCACTACGGCATCACGACTGTCACAGAGAATGCTGCTTTCGACTGCCGCAGTGATGCGTGAAGATCCTGAAAGCTGGGATGTCAGTGGAGCCTTCCTCAAAGGATTGACCTTTGACCGCATCAGAGAGATACTGCTGAAGCAAGGCATCAAGTCTCCTACGAGAGCAGTGGTTTTGATTCCTCCATGGAATGTTTGGCGCCACCTGGCTACGGCAGATCCAGAATTTCATCTGGAACCATGGGAGATTCCATTGTATGGTTTGTGGTGCAACAAGCCGCAAGCCCATCTATGGATTGAACGATGCCCCTGTCGCTTGGCAGTTGAGTCTTGGACAGTTTCTCCAGCGAAACAATGGTCATAGCAGCAAGTTGGACGACAGCTTTTACTTCTGGAAAGATCCTTCCAGTTCGACACCTCTGCAAGGAGCGATGACCACTCATGTGGATGATCTAGCTGTTGTTGGCTGCTCAAGGTTCAAGGAGGAGCTCTACAAGGAGATGTGCAAAGAGTTCGGTTCCATCTCACGGGAACATCTGCCTTTTCAACACTGTGGCTGTCAATATAGCAAGACACCCACTTGTTTGAAGATGGACCAATCCACCTTTGCATCGAAGCTCAAGCCCTCAGACAATCCAGAAGGGCCCGATGATCGAGCTCTCACACCGAGTGAGCTGACACAGTTCCGTTCAGTGCTTGGAGGATTGTTGTGGTTGTGCAGCACAAGGTTAGACATCATTGCTGAGGTTGGCACCCTACAGAGCGTCGTAACCAAAGCAAGAGTGAAAGATCTCCGTCAAGCCAATCAGTTGGTCAAGAAGGCATGCAAAGCTGACAAGCTGAATCTTGGGCTTCATTTTCGACATTTTCCTCCTGATGTTGGCCTTCGCATTCAATGCATCCACGATGCCAGTTCGGCCAGCAAAGGAAAGAGCTATGCCCAGGAAGGCATGATGATCCTCCTCATGCCCGAGCTGCCTGACGAGATCTTGCACCAAGATGACGTCACATGTTCAGATGAGGACATCACCAAAGTGTCCGACTATGGCCACCTCCTGTTCAACCACGGAGGCAAAGCCAAACGAGTGTCTTTCAGCACCTCACATGCTGAGACATTGTCAGCCATTCACTGAGCTATGGATTGCAGATCCCAATCCTTCACTGCAGACGTTGACGCAGTACCAAGAGCAGGGGTCCTCACTTTTCCCTGTCGACAGTGCAACAGACTGCCGCGACTTCTTTGAGCTGGCTACAGGTGAACGTTCAGTACCTCAGGACAAGCTTCAGCGCCTGTACGTGCTTGCGTTCAAGGAGGCAAGAGCGACTGGCAGGATTAGGTTCCTGATGTTGACTCCGACGGAGTTCATGCTGGCAGATGGCCTAACCAAGGTCATGAACCCGCCAAAGCTTTTCCAGTTCCTCAGCACCGGCTATGTTGAGTTTGGCAATGCCACCAAACATCCAACGTTGATGCGCCGCTTGCCTGTACTTCATGAACTACAAGAAGAAGATTTGTTCAAAGATGATGCAAGCCTTTGGAAGGAAGCCTATGAGGGACGACCAAAAGTCTCAATGCAGAAGACTGCGATGCTTGCTATGCTTGGCTTGGCAGCCAAACCCGTGACAAGGACTTTGTTGGCGATGACCGCCTTGACCTCACAAGTTCATGCAGCAACTTCAGAGGCGCTAGAGACCTCATGGGGAGATTCATGGAGCTTCCCTTTCTTCATCCTGCTCACCTTCATCCTTTTGCGTACCTTGGAGTACCTGGTCACCTGCTTGTGCCGTGTTGCAATGAAGTCAATGAGTCCACCGAAGGAGGCCATGCCTACCTCGCTGAATTCGCCTACGGCAACTCCGATGACAAGGAGAATGAGCACAACGCCTGAGAGATTCATGCCAAGTCCCGGCATGGAACGAACTTTGAATCTGGAGGAGACGACTCCAGTGAGTGCGATTGGCCGAGAGCCGGAGGCCCGAAGCCGAGGAACCAATCGAGTTCCTGAGAAGATTTGGATCACCACCACAGGTGCATGTTTCCATCTTCGACCAGATTGCAATGGGCTCAATCATGGAAAGCCATTTTCAAAGAAGATTTGCATTCACTGCATGAATCATGAGGGCAGAACCCAAAGCAGCAGTGGAGTTGAAATTTCATGAGCACATGGCATGATGGTCGCCGTCCGTTCTTTCATTTCACCCTCAAATCACCAGGGATCCCTAGAGCCGCCGCGAGAAAGGTTTCGTGCGAGTGCCAGAAGATGATTTCAAGATGGCTGAGGCAGGCTGATTCACCAAACAGCAAACCACTTGTTTTCGTTTGGATGGGCCCCGCGCCTGAGGCTTGCGTGCTCTTGTCTTGTGGAAACACCACATTGTAACCAACCGCTGCAAGCAAAGGGTTGCTTAGTAGTGACATCTCAACACATCATCAGTAACTAGCTAGCAAAGCGATGTAATGGAGGAGCTACACGGAAGCTCTTGCATACTGCACCACAGAGAGCTAAAAGGATATGATTCGCTAGCAGCAGAAACTATATGCACATGAAACTAGCAACCAAGGAGATACTTGCAGAGCGAACTATCTGGGAACGAGGAGGGAATATGCCTCAATACTTGATCGAATCAAAGAATCAGAGGCTGACAAGAATTGAAGCAAGATCTTCCACTTGTAGCCTTGCTTGCCCCGAGTGTGAAAGTGTCAGAGGGCCTTTCCTTGGTGAGGACCTGAGCTCCATGTCTGGGCCCCTGCCAAAGGAGCTGGAAGTGGAGGCTGGAAAATGAAGAGCGCCGAGTCCGAGTCCAGAACAGTCTTGTCCTGGCTCGACTATCAAGCACTGACAAGGCCTACAGCCCAGCCCTCCAACACGGCCATGTCCCCAACGGACACCAATTGAGCAGCTTTCTAAATTCACCCTTTCTTTTTAAGTCAGGGACCGGCGAAAAATCGGTGAACATAGTGGTTTTAGCTGATGTTTGTAAGGTGTCCGTAAGGTTTGCCGTAAGGATGTGCAGACTTGAACGACGCCGTAAGGCTACCGGAAGCGAAACTTGTATTTTGATTCTGTATCCTTTCTTGTTTTGCAACAACATATATGTGGCCATAGTGGACTTGCATACCTTCGCCGTAAGCACAACGTAAGAATAGCCATGCATACATGTGTCACCGTAAGCAAAACATAGAAAAATGTAAGCTTTGCGTAAGGCCTACCGTAAGGTTTGATTTCTCGGCAAGAAAAGACAACACAATTTTGAACACCGCTCAATTCACGGCTCCACTCCTACCCACACCCATGAGGTGTATGTCACCAGCGCCCACAAGCAGCCTTGCAAGCCTAAACATATATACACTTTTTTGATCCTTTTGCAGGGGGCAGGAATGAACACAGTGCCTTGATGCAACAATGATGCTGTCTTCCAAGTACGCCATTGGGTCTTTAAGGCGGCGAGCCTTCGCCAAGAAGCTGGGGACGCTTTACCAAGCTCCGGTCAGGAGGCGTGCTCGGAGTGCCATTGTTCCCCACATTGACGTGTGGGGTTTTTGTTTTTAGTGTTGTATCCGCGCCGCGCTCCTCCTCCCGCCTCCCGCTTGCCACCAACCAATTGCCACCCACCAATTGCCACCCACCAATTGCCACCAATCAATTGCCACCAACCAATTGCCACCCACCAATTGCCACCCACCGATTGCTACCAACCAATTGCCACCAACCAATTGTCACCAACCAATTGGCATCAACAAACTGCCACCAACCAATTGCCGCCAACAAACTTCCACCAACCAATTGCCACCCAACCAACTGCCACCAACCAATTGCCACCAACCAATTGCCACCAACCAACTTCCACCAACAATATGCCACCAACCAATTGCCACCAACCAACTGCCGCCCACCAATTGCTACCGACCAATTGCCACCAACCAATTGCCACCAACCAATTGCCACCAACCAATTGCCA